AACATATTTTATATGCGTTTAATATTGTCTATTACATATTTCATTTTTTTAAATCGCGAGTTTCTTTTAATTTTTTCGAAACTGATACGTTGATAGATATCCTTAAGCCAATTGCGATACAACTTCCGCCAATATGTTGCCCTTGTATTGAAAGTTGCGGTCAATGCGAAAGTGTCAGAGCTTGCATATCATTTCCGCATGCCCATTCGTCATTACCCGAGGGTATCGCATCTACGCCTTATACTGGAGTAATGGAGTTAGGAACCTTATATCGGCCGGCACCATTACGCCCTGTATTGAGAAGTGAGTAAGCTAATAATTTAATATTGCATAATTTTCTTCAAATTTGTATCAAAGAAAACCATATAGTACTTTCTGTTCTATGTTCTGTAAAAAAATTACTCGGTATTTTCGCAATTATATAAATTTATTGGAAATAATTTTTTTTTTAATCAAAGATAAGCTGTATTATTTTACTGCATCTTTGTGATTTTTATTATACGGTATTGCAATTTTATAAATTTTAAAATAAAATTTTATTAAGAGAGAAAGAAGCAAATAAAATCTTGATAGAATTAAGAACATGATTTGTCATCTATTTTGTTTTTGGAAGCTTAATTTGTCCAAAGCTATTTATTTTCAATTAATTAAAATTCCAAACTTATTGTTAGTGAATTAAAAAATTTGCAATGGAAAGAATACACATCCAGTGATGTTGACATATTTCATATACATGATTACGTATAAAAATGTAACATATTTGCACGCGTATTAGATAAAAAATGTAAGATGTAAATGTAATATAGTTTTAAATGTAATCTTTAATAATATCTAATATAAATAAGAATATATTAACAGTTTATATTTTATAAAAAAATTCCATAAGAATATAGACTTTACTTCAAATGAAAGTTGTATACATACTAAAATCTTCTTATTTGTAATATAATTAATTAACGATTTATCTCAATTAAATTTGAATGCAGGCATGAGATTAACCTTTGCACAGATTTATAAGATTACTTTTAAAAAATCCGACCGGGAGTCACAGGTTACGTCATTGACAAATGTTACCATATGGACACACTGTCTTGTCCCTCTGATATCCAGGAGCAAGTAGAGCAAAATATTTACGTGTCAGTGTATTCTCGTGTTTCCTGTCTGTGTTTAAACGACATCTTAAGTGCCACCGAACGTTTATACGCATGGTGTAAACGGCGGTTTCAATATGCATTCTTTCGGTTGGTTATTATAAAATTCAACAATGTGCCCCTATCTCTTCTTTCTTCTTCTTCATAACAATTTCGCTATTATTAATGTATCATAAAATTTTATAACAAATAAAATATTAAAATGAATTAATGCAGAAGTAATAAATAATTTTAAAAATGTATGCTTATACACATTTAATAGATTCGTTTCCTTATAATTTTATCAAAGATTTATAACAAAAACTAGTAAAATAATAAGTTTATAAATGTAATATATAAAGTAATATATAAATCAATATTTAAATTATCATTAATTTATTGTGATTAATAAAAACATTTGAGATATAATCTCTCTTTTTTATCATATTATACTTTTTTCTACATTTTGACGTAATATCAACACATACTAGTTTAAATGATTATATTAATTTTTTATATAGCGTGAATCAATGAAATGTAGCGGAATTCATGAATTAGAAATATACGCTCAAAGATTAACATGGAAATCCCAAAATAACCGTGATGTTAGAGATATCTGTTCGAATTTGAACGAAGATTTGGCTTGAGTGGGAGCACCACACTGTTTAAATACGTACAGATGTTGTATACTTTTGTGCGGCTGTAAATCAGCCCGAAGTACCCCATCTTGCAAGCTGCTTTGGACTGAGATCTGTAGAAACTGATATCCATAGAGCCAAAAGTAGCATTTATCTTTCATGACGCTTTTTCACCTAATTCGCAATTCTTTTCTTCACTTTTTTGTCTCTGTAATGCAAAAGTTTTGGGATATATTTGTAATAAATGTTTTATGATTGATAATATTAGTAATAAATATTTTAAATATTTTATATAAACAATTCTCTATTTTTTCATATATACATTAATTTTTTTATTTATACTTATGACAGATTAAAGATATCTAACGTCATTAAGATAAAATTTTTAACGCTATCAATTGTATATAGTTAAAAAACAAGAATTAAAAATATTGAAACTTTTGGATTTGTTTTATCTTAATTTATAAATGGTCACCATTAATAAAAGAGCGCAATGTTTTATCAAAATTTCTTTTCTTGATAGTTCTTTTGATCGGAATGCTATACTTATTATATTCGTGACTATAATACGGAATCAGAAATAAAATTAAATATTAAATTATTAAATAAAATTATTAAATAAATTTAGGTAACACATTTATTTTTCAGCACCTATATCATCTTCCTCAACGATGAGTTCTTCCGAAACAAACACACGAAGAAAGAGGTCGTGGTCCAGAGCTGTGTTTAGTTCACTACAGCGGAAAGGCTTAGAAAGGAGATTTTCGTTACAAAAGTACATCACAAAACCAGACAGACGACAGTTGGCAGCAACTTTAGGTTTAACAGATGCACAGGTTATTTAATTTTTATAAAATAAAATTGCATTTAAGGAAATAATATCAATAATAGAAATGATCATTTATTTATTTTAATTAATAGAGCTTGCTTTTATATTGTTAGGTCAAAGTTTGGTTTCAAAATCGTCGGATGAAATGGCGACATACAAGAGAGAGTGAGAATGCTGCATCGGCTGGTCCAGATTCTACGCAAAAAGATATTCCGCAAAAATTAGTTAAGCCCAATGCCAATGATACGACACAACAAAACGAAGAAGATATAGAAATCGATGTAGATTTATAAAACTTTTTTATATAGGTATATAAAAAAGATCATTCTAGCTTTTTTTTAATGGTACATTTAAAAATTTTTTGAAAAAATTTGAAAATTAGAGAGGAATTATTTTATTATAATATTATTATATAATCTTTATTAAATATGTGTAACAGAGCAATGTCACAGTGTGTGGTCAATATGCAATAATTGCGTATTCATCTTTTAAAGAAAAAGAATAATAAACGACTCTTCAAGTTCAATTTTGTAAACATCTAGATCTAGATAATGAGTGAGTTAATAATGTGATAAAGAAAGTTTATTACAAGAAATATTTTTAATGTAAAAAAAAATATTTACAATACAATAAAACTGCCTTGCTTATATCACTAATATTTCTTTATAATATTTAGTATTAAATCTCCAAAATTGTAAAACAATTCTATATATATTAATATCAGAAAATGAATTTATAGTCAATATCGATTTCGACGAATGTCGATTTTCTATTTTTTCGATATATTTCCGTAGCAACGACTTTGTTATTCTCTCTTTTATCGGCGCAAAGATTTATGGCTCAACTGCCATTATATGCGATAATATTTCACGATCACTTTAATTTTTCCAAGCTGTATATTTAGCAGGTATGTAAAAATTTAAGTCTCCCTAAATATATATATGTGTATTACATATATATTGCATATTTTTCTTTTTTTTTTGCGCGTCTGTCGTATATTATTATATTTATATTTATTGTTATTTATATGATTTCACAAATACCTGTAATTTTACAAATATTTATATGATTTAATTTTCTTATTTAGTATTTTCTTATTTATAGATAAACAAAACGTATTATAAAAATATCACAATATTGCAAAAATGATACATTGCTTAATACGATCCACTTTCGTTGGCCGACATCTTTCTTTGCAAGTATACGGAACGTGTTTCTATCGCTTGACAACAAGCCTAGCAAACACATTGGCAGCTAACGAGGAAAGAAAATGTGCACCACTCAATACCAATGACATAATAAGTAAGAAATATGATGTTTAATTACTCGATGCTTTTAATCGCATATAATATTTTATAATTTTCAGTGGATTTAAACTAATTTATAAATTGTGTTTCACTAAATTGTGCTTCTGCAAATCTAAAAAGAGAATTATACTTCACCGCAACAATTGTAATAATTAATAGCCATTGATCTCAAACTTCTTTTATTATCAGGCGCCACCGTGGCGCAATCACGTGCAATTCCGGCAATGACTGCAGCTGTGACGTCATCGAAAGCAATGTCATTATTGCAGACAGCGAATCCCGAGATAGCCATGGAAGACTTAGAAATTTCTGCATCAAAGATTGTGCCACTTGGTCATGTGGATAAGGCACCGTTACCGTTTGAGGACATTCCTGGCCCGATGATACTCAAGTTATGGGAAAAATACTGGAGATACGTGCCACTTCTGGGTACGCAACTGTTTTCCAGTTTGCTAATCAACAGATTTACCCAGGGTACGATCCCTTAAAGAGTTCAATTGCTTGAAATTCAAAGAGTTTTGTATTTTTAAATTGACCACGGCTTAAATAAAAAATAAGCGATTTTGTAAAATGTGTAGAATGTAAATAAAGTTTGGCTCTTTGAATTTTAAGCAAATCGCCGTCTGAGTCTCGAGAAATTTACGTATAACGTAAAGTGCATATAAAGTTTTCCGAATTTATGGACATACACAGATATACATATAATTATATATTTATACGTTTACTGTTAGTAGAAAAAAGAATTAAAAACGGCTATTGTTTAAGAGAGTTTTTATTATAATTTACGTCAAAAATTAAAAAAAAAAGAAATGTGTCTTTAAAACAAAAAGAAATATTAATGTTATAAATTACTAATGTTACAATGATATATTTTTTTTTTATTTTTGACATATAATAAAAACACTCTTGAACAAACGAATATAAAGGAGCATTAAAATTAATTACGTATAATAGTTAAAAATTAAAAATAAATTAAAAGTCAACTACAAATTAATATAAAATTTGCAAATTAATATTAAAATCTAAACTATACTCTGTATTCTAATGATTAAAAACATTTCATGGATTACTTTGCAGGACGATTATCTTGGAATCGCAATGTCACGCCGATTAAATATTTATTCGATGAGTACGGATGCATTGTGCGAATTAACGGCCCTATTGTAAATGACATAGTTATGATTCACAGGTGAGATATTGCAATTATCATGTTTTAGTCTTGAAGCAAATTCATCAATTGTTTTAGGCCCGAGCATATAGCGGAAGTTTTCAAGCAAGAAAGCGAGTCAGCTGTTCGTAGTGGCATCGACATTCTTCAACATTATCGCCTTAATCATCGCAAGTGTCGTTTCGCTGGAGCGTTCTCTCTGTAAGTATTAGGTTTACATAGAATATATAATGCAGGTTTAAAATATATTTAAAAAATTATAAACCTGTAATTATATTTACAAAAAGAAATACATTGATATATCTCATAAGCAAAATATTTTTCTTGAACTAAACAAATATATGGATTTAATCATATTTATTTATATGAAAGAGAGAGAGAGAAAATAATTAAGTATGTCACAAATGTTTATTGATTGTTGGATTGTGTCACAATCATTGCCATAATCAGGAATTAATTTATTCCATTTACAGCTGTTCTACATCTATTTGTGACATAATTATAACTTTCCTTTGTACAAATATATATAATATAGTACAAAATCTTTAATTTTTTTTCGATAACCATTTGTGACATACTTAATGATTTTTCCTTGTTTAAATTATATAAAAGTATTTATATAATTTTTATAAAAATATTGTTTATGTAAGACATTCAATAATCCAATAATAACTTTACGAAATATCAGACAAAGTTCGGAGTGGTTAGAAGTGAAAGAGAAAGTTGATCGGCCGTTACACGAAACAAGTTCGAATTATATTGGAAAACTGAATTCAGTGGGTGACGAACTCGTTAACAGGATTCGTAATATACGCAATCGACAAGACGAGGTACGCTACATATTAACAAACATTTAATGTACATTAACGTTAATTGTCTTAAATCTAACACATAACATACAAATAACGTTTAAAGAGTAAAGCAAAATTATATAAAAACCTTTTGTAAATTTAATAAAATTATATCAAGTTAATATAAAAGATGATTATGCGAATAAATATTACAAAAATGATAATGCTTGATTACACATAATACTATCAAACTTATAATAATTTGAAGGGTAGTATTTTAATTAATTTTTGAACAACAGGTACCAGCGAATTTTTATCAGGAACTCACCGCATGGGGTATGGAATGCTTCTACGTAATGATGTTCAATAGGCATCTCGGTTTTCTCGATGTCACCTCGAAATCGATGTCTGAAGTCACAAAACTTCTTAATGCGTTAAGTACTGCTCACACGTATATGGCTCGGTGCGAGACTGGATTTCAAGTGTGGAGATTTTTCGAAACTCCATTCGCCAAGAAACTTTTTGCAGCTTGCGACATTCTTGACGAGTGAGTCAATAAAATTTAATAACACTTTGACAAAACTTATCAAATACATATATTATTTTATTTTCTGTATATTTGGTTTATAATAATAATTATAATTTTGTTTAATATCTTATTTGATTACATGCGTTGACCACAAAGTTTTTTATTTTTAGTAATATTATATTTTGTTAATTTGACACATTTATACACATGAATCTATACTTCTCAGGATTATTGGAAAATATATTCGCCAAGCACAGAACAAGCTGCAGGCTTCTCCGCTAACGAAACAAGAAAAATCTACGAATGAAGAGAAAAATTTATCGTTGCTCGAAAAGATGATGATTCAACGTATCCATTCGGACGATATTGCTACTCTTTTAATGGACATGATTATTCTAGGCGTTCAAGCTGTAATACGCAATAATCTCATACAAACAAGATAATAATATAAATGTACGTAATAAATTAATTTTTTCTTTGTAGGTCATAAATTGCGAGGCGTTCTTGCTTTACTTTTTAGCGAGGAATCCTAGAGTACAAAAACGATTGTATGACGAAATTATCTCTGTTCTACCTAAAACAGATAACATAACTCTGACAAAAGAAAGCTTGAAAAATATGCCATATCTAAAAGCATGCATAAAGGAAAGTCTTAGGTATAACAAAATTTATGAAATTTTATTATATGTTAACTTTTCTTTGTTATAAAACTTTAAATAGTTCTAAAAATTTTAAATAGTTATATATCATTACCTATAATGAGCAACGTAATAGAAAAATGAATAAGAAATGTCATATAATAAATTGGTACTATATATTTTTTTTTATGTGAAAGATTGCGACCTGCATTTCCCTACTTGACGAGATCATTGTCGTCAGCAATTTCGCTACACGGATACACGATACCGAAAGGAGTAAGTTGTAAGTGTTAGTTCAAATCTAGACGCGAGAAATAAACAAATAATTTTTGTCTTAGACTTTTGTCATAATGGCGAATCAAATAACATCACAGCGTGAGGAACATTTTGAAGATCCTGGCAAGTATCTGCCAGAAAGGTGGTTGAAACAGAATGAACATGCGCATGATAATTCTTACCAAGAGTATTCATGTCTACCTTTCGGACACGGTGTACGTGCCTGTCTAGGAAAAGATATGGCTGAAATGCAAATGATGTTACTCACCGCAAAGGTACATTTCTCGCATGCAATAAAATGTAATCGGGTTAAGATAAAAATATATACGTATTTTACTCTTTACAGTTGGTACGAGAATTCATAATTGAATACGATTATGCTGATATCCAAAGCCGATTTCGTATGGTTAATGTACCAAATAAATCATTACGTTTTCGATTCTTAGATAGGAATTAAAGGATAATAAAAGATATAAAGCCTAAACAATTAGAAGAATTTAAGGGACATGATAATTAACAGATATAAAAAAAACATGCATCTTTATTATAATTATATTACGTAGGATTATCTTTCTGTAAAAAAGTCTATATATGAGGTTAAAGTACATCGGATATATATTTATATCAAATTACATATTATTTTATTAAGAGAATAATTTGAAAGTTATATTAAATATGTATTTATGTTTGTGTATCAAATGTTAATTTTGTTAAACAGCAAATATTACTTATAAGAAAAATATAATTTATATTGTATGTTTTACGGATTAAAATATTAATTGCGACAAATAAAAGACATAAATGATTCTTGTAATTTATAAACATATAAAGTATAAGTATATAAGAATATTTGCATGATAATTTTACCAACAAGTTCACGTTTTTATTACAACATTAAAAACATTTTATGTGGTTGTATAACACAGCCAACGTTTTATAAAAATACAACTCAGAAATTTTTATTATAGATCTGATTCTTTTTTTACTCCTGATCCATCATTATACGCACAGCTGCCATGTATGAAAAAACCGTCGAAACATACTGAAAAGTAGGAAAAAAAACTATATTATTGACGACTCCACATCTTAAGTAACGCTGGATTATGATTGCTACTGCATATAAAATATATATATATATATATGTATGTATATAATTTATATTTAGAAACTATACGTCTTTTTATATATTAAACATATATTAAAATTAACATTCTCTTTTTACAATAATTACATATATAAAATAACTGACAATGATAATATAATAGAGAGAGTAATGTATAAAATATGATACATAATAAACGTAAAAGATGATCGTTAAACAAATACATTCTTACCGACGTGTAATATTTCATAGATAAACTTGGTAATGCGCATGGAACTGAAATAGTGACCGGATGTTGACTTCTTAGTATAATATTTATTGAAAGCTTTTGCATGGCCAAATCGTTGTTGTACCATAATGAATCGTAGACAGCTGGCGCAATTTCGCTACTCTAATCAAAATTTTTGCAAGACACGTTAGTTGAAACATTATGAATTTATTATATTATCTATATATAATATATATAGTTATGCAATTTATTTATTAAATAACTAACCATGCTCATTACATAATCAGCTGGCCAGGCATACATATAAAGTTCTATAAAGCCGCCAAAACTTATCATGAGGAACGTCCATTTCACTGACCATGGTTGATTCTATTATGTGGAAATATTGGAAGAAGATAATATTGTATACACATACAATAACATATTATGTAATTTATATAACACATTAAACAAATTTCATTTTAAATTAATTTTATGAAACGTGTGTATGCATGTAATTAGAAGAGATAATGTGCTTTTCATAGACAATAAATGTGAAATTGTGCAGAATGCGTAATAACTTTCACACGATACACATTACTTACGCTCATAAAAGTAAGATAACCGAATATTACAGCGCCAATACTAAAGGTTACGCATAATAGCGCTATATAACGAATTGCGAGCCCCACTTCTTCTGCATATCTGTAAGCATTCATTGTCAGAATATTTAATTATACCCTAGATTATTAATACTCGTTATATATAGAATTAGTACGCAATTCGATATTTTATCTTAATTATGTTAATGTGCTGTCAACAAAAAAATTATTTTTTATCACTTAAAAATATATTTTAGAATATATATATTTTCACAAAAAAAAATCTATATATTATTTAATTTTCTTAAAACTTCATAGAAATATTAAAATTACTCCAAATGAATACATATGGAATAATTTTTGGTTCAAATAAAATTTAATAAAACTAACATTAAACTCTAACAGGGATAATTACAATATTTAGGGAAATATACATTTTACAAATAATCTTGACTTCGAGATAAATTATATAGCGATTATGTGAACAAACTTGAGTAATTGAGAGTAATTTGCACTTTAAATCATGCAAATTTCTTCTGATAAATTAACACATATTTGTTTAAAACATTTTAGCTTTTATACTTTATTTAAATTTAGCTATCGAGATAAGTTCGATAATATATAAGAGCAAAATTATTCACAGTTACTAATGTTTAAAAAAAAATATATCTATATTGTATATGTACCTGAGTAATGTGTAGTGTTCTTGCACATACTTTATGAGCTCTTTCATGTTTGTCATCGTACGGAACCGGACGGACAAAATGTGGAACCTGGCAGCTACAAACCAAAGTAGAAGAGCAGGAAAACTATTGGCGCCAACTTGTGTCATACTTTGATAAACAGTCAATATCTGATGTGTTAAGATAATAGTTTTCATTGGTTGATAATGCACATCAAATGGATACTCCACCGTAAACGGAAATATTTGTGATGCAAACAAGGGTGTAGCCATCATACTGATGGCTGTCATTGCTAGCCAGCAAATAATGATACCTGTGGCAATTAATATTTAATATTAAATACAACAAAATTTTTCTTTGATATGTATGATAACAAACATTAATTTAAAGATTTTAGTTTACTATATTTATAATATCTTTAGAAATTATTTTAATGTATTCAGTAATATTTGTATTCAGTATTGTTAATTTCATAAAAATAATAAGTTAATATAAAATTAACCCCCTCCCTTCCCCTCTCCCTCTCTCTCTCTCACTCTTTCTCTATCCCTCTTTCTTTAAGAAAAAGGAATTTTATTGAATCGGTCAAGAATTCTTTTCATTTTTTAAGAAAAAATATAACAATAATATGTATGCTTAATATACATATTTTGTAATATATTCAATTAATCAAATAAGAATTAAAATAATAGAAAATCAAATTATAAATTATTGTTTCGTTGCGTTTCTTTACGGACAATAATTATTTCTTTAACAACACAGAGTCAAATATATTTTGTCCACGTTGCTATATCATTTGACTTTTCGACGATCTAGATATAATTTGCATTAAGAACGTACTAAACCGTTGAATCGAAAAATCGAATAATTAATATTACGATAAGCTCCGTGATACATTAATTGTTTAATAAATAATTGATGTATAATTTAAAATATAATATTTATATAATTTAATATTTTGCATATATATTTTATAGTACGTAAAATATTTCGGTAGCGGATTAGGACAATACCTAACATGGTGTTCGGCCTTGGCGGCGTAAACATTGACGCGCGTAAACATTTGTTTTATGGCCTTGTTACCATTCATGCGACGATACTTGAATAGTACTGTAATAGTGGGAGACGCTATGTCATAAATTTCTTTTCTATTTATCATTCACGCGACGACACTCGAACAGAAATGTAGTGATGCGAGACACTCCGTT